CCAACTCACAAAAACAGTCAACCGTGCTGCGCGTTGCAAAGATTCGGCAAGCTCGCAAATTTCAAAGCCTTTAGTTGAAGGCCCTTGTCATTCACCAATCAGTGTTGGGTCGTCCTGCAGATTCCAAGCTCATAGCCAACATCTGGTTACATAGAAGCTAAACACCAAGACAAAATACTGATGTACTGCACTAGCTAATGAGTTATAAGTGTTCTGTGTCATTCGGCCGGTGGTCGAGTCCGAATCCGCGTAGGGGCGGGCGTCCTCGCAGTATACACAGCCCAAGCGCGACTGATGGTGGTCGAGAGGCAGCGAAGCGAAGTTGCGGCATACAGCTGATGATTTACATTTTTGTAGTCGGTAATATCAGAAACAGTAAGTAGTTAGATTTCTGAACTAGGACCTCAGCTGTCCCAACTGTGTAATGACCATACTGGTCCGCCACCCACGAAGACTACATCCAATGTAACTCAACACCCCAGGTAAGTAAGGAAAATCAAAGGATTTAGGAGTATTGTTTAGTTTCAACACAATATGTTCATGTCGAATCTGCCCCAAAAGATGGCGTGACATCAGCTTCCCAGCTGGCTTCAAGTGAATCAGTAAGCGGGAGGTTTGCATAAAGCCCCTTGACCTACTGTCAACTAAACGATACCCACGTGCTCTGCAGTAGCAGTCCCCGCTGTGCCGGCCGCGTAAGACGTGGTAAAATTGGAAGAAGAACAAAAGTAAGGCAAGCTGAAACAAGAAATGTGACAATTTCGAAATGGAGACTAGGAATTTAAGAGCTTCAATAGCCAAGAGCAAAGCAAGGATGTGAAGGGAGTTTTAAACTGTATGTCAAGGGCGTCAAGTCGGTGCTCGAACTGGTTCACCGTTGGTGCCAGCACCACCTCCACGGCCAGCGAGTTCCGAGAGTCTATAACGCTGCGTGCCAGCCTGGAATTAGTTCCGACCCGGTCTGATTGGGGTTTGTGTAAATTAGGTGAACGACCACGAAGAGTTGGCACCTGAGGGCGATGGGAAAGTCCAGATAAATCAGGATCAACCTGACCTGTTATTATGCAATAAGTGAGTAGCACGTCACCTTGAAATCGCCTGTAGTAGATTGAAAACATGTCCAGCTTGAGTACCGTCTGGGTAGGACAGCTTCAGTAATTTAAATACCACTTTCGTCTCCAACGGTAAGACTCATTCAACTGCCATGCTGTACTGCACTAGGAAGCGGGGCCAAGCCCGTACGCACTATACTAAGTACGGCCTAACGAAAGCTTCAAATATTTTTGCGAACACTTCGGTTGTCATGATCCCGAGTGACCTGCGGATCATGTACAACATGCTGAAAGTTTTGCGAGCAGCTACCGTCCTATGCTTACAGGTCTTAAAATCAGGTGACAGCAAAACATCAAGGTCAGCTTGGAGTGGTACGCGCGACACTTCATTTTCATCAAACAGATAATGCATAGATGGGTCATTTGTTCCTAGTCTAAAAACCGAACATTTGGCGTGACTTAAGGGTAGGCGCCACAAAACGGACCAGTCTCAAAACCTATCTAAAGCCCTTCGCAGGGCCAATAGACCACTAAGTTCATTGTCATCCGCGAATATTGGGGGTGTCAGTTCCAGTTCGTCGGGTAAGTCATTAACGAACAAAGTGAATAGCAAGGGGCCAAGGATTGACCTTTGCGGGACACGGCTGTGAACACAATGATTGAAAGACAAACTGGAACCTAGACAAATGCATCTCCATTCCGGTTAAAAAGGCAGAATTCCATTGCAAGGTTGGTCCAGAGATACCATAGGTCTGCAGTTTGTACAAAAGTCGACGAAAAGTACGTCGTGCTTTTTCTTGATCAACCGCTTCAGTCCTATGTTCGCGAGCTACTATCAAGTTGGTATGGCAAGAATAGCTTTTAGGAAAGCTGTGTTGGGAGGAGCAGATTAACCCTAACATCCACAAATGGCTTTGAAGGGCATCAATCACATGCTTTTGCAGGAGGTTGACCAGCACGCTAGTCAGACTAACAGGTCTATAGCTTTTCACGGACGTAATTAGCACCTAAAAATTGGGCACATAACAGCTTTTGCCATTCGTTAGGTACAGAACAGCTGCGCAGAGACGTCTTAAACAGTTGCGTAATTGTCAATTCATATAACAGTTTGGGCCGGATAACATCCACTCCTGCAACCTTAGGAGGATTTAGCTCTCGTAGAAGCTTGAGCACCTGAGCCTCCGGTACGGAAACTTCCAGTAGAGCGTTTATGGAAATCTTTAACTCCAAGCCGATTTGCGGCAAATGAGACTCGCGAAGAAATACACCTGCATACTGTTATTTAAGGGAAAAAACTTGCCAAGGTCGGTGACAGCAGCGAAGCTGTCAGGATTAAACAACACCGAGATGGACGGGGTCATATTGCTTCATACTTTGACACAAGCAGAGAAGTGATTTGAGTTTGATGAGGCTGTACGGGTAGACTCGATTCCATGTTGTAACCGAGCAAGTAGCAGATACTGCCTGCAGATATCTGGAATTTTTCGGTTATGGTGAAAGGCGCATACCGAAAAAGTAGACACACAAGTACACAAACATCTGGTGCGTTTGTTAGGCAGTTTACACGCAGCAGAATCAACCCGAAGTGGCTTTGGTACAGTTTTATTCCTCACAGAAATTGGTATGAGGCAGAGAAAACTCAAATAAGTAGGACTTGAATGTGTTCCAAGCTGTCAGAACATTGTGGATTTCCGAAATAACACAAAATGAGTTGGTGGCCTTTGAGTTCATTACTGGAAAATCGGAACGCCATATGTTCCTATTCTCGATTGAAAGCGCACATGAATGACAGACATACATGGTCACTAGCACTCGGAGGTGAGTCGTAGGCAAAGTCCATGACAAAGTCAATCGACCTGGCGTAGACCAGATCCAAGAATGGCGGATTTTGATACACCTAAACCCGGTTAGCTGATCAACAAATTGATATAGGGCAACATGCAGAGCTGGATCTAGAAGCGCAATGACAAAGCTTTATGAAACAGCCACCCAGAAGGAATTCTGCCGCTCAACATTTGAAAGATTAAAGTTCCCCATCACTGGACATCTATTCGTACAATGAGCACTGATGGAATTAATGAGACTCCTTGCAACACTATCGGGGCTTCCACAAAGCAGCATAACTTACACATGCAAAATACGCAAATTAACGGCGGGTGCCTCGACGAGTGGGAAGCGGATAGCATACGTTTTGAACATAGTTAAGGCGGAGTTAATGTGCAACGTAACGCCAGCGCGACGAGCAGAAGCGCGAGCACACTACAGTAATGCGTAGCCTGGTAAGTCTGTTTCGCTGTCTGTGACGTCACCAGACAACTACGTCTCAATGGACGCGAAAATATCTGGACGAAATTTGTCGACCATGGCTTCGAATTCGCGTATTGTTGTAGATCACCTAATGGAATCTGACATCGTGATTCCTGGATAGTGCGCTAACAGAACGGGCACAAGTAGGGCAAAAATATACCGTCAGTTCGCCACCCGAAAATCCGCTAAATGGCGATCGTTCTCCCCGGCTTCACGACGGGCCTTAAGATCTCTAACAGCCTCCCCTAATTTCAATCTATCCGCTAGACGAAGTTTGGTTGCACATCGACCCCAATGTCGTTTAGTTTAAGGGCGAATTGAAGAGGAGCCTGGTGTTCATTTAGCGTGGACAGAACAACTCGGAATAAGCGAGGTCAAAAGCTGGACCCGTCAACCAGAAAGATATCGAGTCCAGGAAGGTTTCGCATAGTAACCCCGGGAAACCCCGGCGGTAGTAGCTTAGGAACGATAATTTTGAGCCACTAAAGGTGATCTAGAATACGCGTCTTTGGAAGAGCAGCAGAAAAGTCAGTGGCATTTCTAAAAATAACACCATAAACGGTATACGGGTCACTGCGACGTGGGATATTTACGGCACGAATCATTAACTCGGGTACTTGTGGTTTCGCACCCGGCTTTATAAACTCTAAGGTAGTGCAAGACGCTGCCTGCGAGGGGTACGGTACTTGCTGTTTGGGAAGGCAATGGAAGGTTGCACATTAGCTGCTTTTGAAATGACTACCTGTCTAGCCTTCCGCTTATTTTGACAAGCACATAAGTCCGCGTTTCACCATCACTAACGGCTGAAACTAAAACGCCATTCGAGTGATCACTATTAGCAGACACACCAATAGTAGGTTGTAAAATATGATCTGTGCCAAATATGGCCACAGTTTTTCACTTGAGGAGAAATAAACCTATTATTATTATAAGACTGGCAAATTGCCCAGATCCCCCGTCGCATTCTTACTGAGTAGACTTGAACTATTCAGATACTTTACAATCCAAACAATTTTCCTGTCTAGAGAAGTCAACAGAGACAGTAAGCCATTCAGAGAAACATGACCGTCCGGTGGCGGTGTACCAGTATTGGGAAGAGCAACACCCAGATATTTCCATTCAGGTTACGGTCATTGAGATCGGAATAACCAAGGTTTACCCCAAAGTGAACCGAGGTCACCAAAGAAGTTACGAGTCGCAACCCAACCAAACAGCACGTTCCGTAAATTCAGCTTTGGATGACCGTACTTTTTGGTGCGCAAAGCTCAGCCTTAGACCTAGAGCAGTTGATACAGCTGTGGAGTAAACTATCCGTGTTAGTCAGAAGAGTATAATGCTTCGGACCCAAGTCAGTACCACCACGGGTAACAGATATCACACTGCATGCCTCCCGACCAATCAGCAACTGCTCTAAACATCTCGCTTTGCCATACAGAACCCCCGAGTCAACTGGAAGAAGATCTGAGGATCCAAGACGGCTCTTTCGACCATCGTAACAGAAGTGAGAATCAAGAAAGAAATCAAACTAATATGAAAGGATAAAAAGTATCCCGCAACGGTTTACGGTAATCAGCCATGCAGTCGAAGAGGGCGATATTCGGAAAGACCAAAAGCGACACGTTTTTATTGATATAGACTCACCAGATCGTACAAGCTGGGCGGTGGCAGTTAAGCACTTTGTTGAATAGGTACTAGCCCCTTGTCCTCACGATATTGCAAATTTCAATCTGAAAACATATTTTTTGGTTGCGATCAGTCAAGTTCTGTTGGGACCCGAACGATAGGATTGTCCCGTGCGTAACGTTGATGTTGAAAGTCTAAAACAAAGACCGCATCAAACCCTGGTCAACAATTTACCGCACACATTTCCTGCTCAGCAGTCCCTGGCAGGCCGGCTTTTGTGAAAAGTGTGAATGGTAAGCTAAGAAAACAAGAGGAATGTCAGCTAAGTGATGATAATACCAAGATATGAGAATAAATGAAAAATGAACAGAAAACTGAAGATACAAGTCGATTAGAAGGGGAACGTTTATTCCTGTCACCCAAGAGCATCTAACTGACGCTTAAAGCCCTCAACCGTAGATTTCCTAACGACATGCTCCGGAAGCGAGTTCCAACGTCCAATAACTCGAGGCGACAAGCGTTTCCGTCCTTACCCGGTCAGAAGGCAGCTTGGGCAGCTTCAAGCGGTGACCTCAAAGACCAGGCAGTTTGGAGGGAAAAGAGTCAGGAAAAGTCTAGACCAATCTTACCCGTTAGAATACGGTAAGTGAAGATGAAATCTCTAATTCTCCGGCACTGCATTAAGTACATCCCCAAGCTAAGCAAACGTTGGAGATACGTTGGCCATCGTAAATCCCGCAATGACATGTACCCCCTTCGCAAAATTGCTCCAGTTCTATTTTGTCGCTTAAAAGACATAGTGAAGAAGCCTGGAAACAAGATGCTAAATGGGGTCACACAAAATCTGAGAAAAGCTCCACAAAATATCGGCCGTCACAAAACCGAAGGAGCGGGGAATAAACCACATCATAAGTAACCCACTACAAAAGGTTTACCTCCAATTGTCCCTAGAGTGAAGCACTAAGACGTGGTTGACGCTTAGATCAACTACCTCGTGAAACAACCTTAGCCGATGTCATCAAACGGGCTGCAAATAAACGGCTGTTCACCGGAATCCAATCAACCAACATTGGCTTAGACTTGGAGCTTAGAATGATACCTACACCAGCTTGACCCGTGAGTGCTGCATCGGCGTCTCCGGATGCGTGCAACCAATAACAAGAAGAGAAGCCCGATGCAGTTAATTCGACAACCCCGTTGGGGTCATTGATACTAGGTCCGGGACAACATATCAACACCCAGTGTGTCCAAGGTGCGTGTGAGTGCAGCCTGTTGACCTATGTCTTAGACTGCGAACGCTGAACACCGCCAGGGAAACTTCATAGCGTGACCTTATAAAGGGTTGTTGCCGATAGGCGTCCGATGGGTGCTGTGGGAAGGTGGCTGCAGATGGTTCTACTTCAGTGGCACTTTGATTGCCGTCAATTAAACTGGGAATTATAGAAGGAAGGCTAGTAATGGGGGTCGGAATGGGAGAATAAACAGGTGGAAAAAAAGGAAGGCGCCAGCAGTAGCATGTTTTCGCTTATCTGCCCTGCTGTATGCAGTAGATAAGGCGACCCTTGATAACCTGTGCGACGGCCGATGCAGGATGAAGTTTATGTTTGAAGAAAAAGTCATGGTTGTATGTGGGCTAAGATACTGCCAGGACGCCCAGACCTAGACAAGAGGACGATTAGGGTCCTCATCTAAAGCCTTTGGCTCAAAAGCTTCTCCGCAAAGCAGCGGGGAGGTGGCAATGAATTAGTTTTACAGAAATGGACGCCATCCCACTTCAAACCTAAACCTGGAGGACCAAGAGACTAAGTTTATCTGACCTCTCACCATTGATCAGTCCGGTAGGAGTAGCTCTCGAGGAGTCCGGAGGCACCACACAGTAGAGCTCAATTGGTCAAGAAGATACGCAAACCGTCGCACCACGTCAAGGTCCAGTCTCGTTGCGACGGGGATCAGACTGCTTCCTTTATGGTTGCCGCATTCCGAAAGCCAGCCTCCTTTGAAGATCGGGACAATAACGGAGCGGTTCCAGTCGGTTGGAACAGTTTCCTGTTCCAACGGTTTCACTAGTAATTTGGGTAAATCATCAAGAGCGGGGCCCCAGAATTTGAAATGGCTGGATGAAGATTATCTAGTCCAGGAGCTTTATTCAACTTCAACAGTCCGGTCACATTCGACTTCTGAGAAGACGAATTTAAAGGGACAGCCCAGGGAGCAGGGCGATCAGTGGCCGGTGAGGAGGCTAACAATTCCGGCCGATTAAATTGCTTTTCAAACTGTTCAGCCTAACACACCAAGCGATTTAGCAAATTGTGGATAGGCTGTCCACTCTCCTAACAAATAGTTGCATTAACATTAGATCTCTTGTTGCCCTTTTCCCGTATCAGACGGAACCACTTCCGATTTTTACCAAAAGCAGCGGTCACTTCCATCTCTAACGCACGATGACACCGCCAGGATCCACGGTCTCGCTTGAGTCTAGCGCGGAGATTCCCCCTCAGGTCTATGCGAGTCTCGTGTTCGCTAACAGCCGGAATGTGCCGGCGAGCATAGATCAGCATCATCACAAGTATACACGTTAGCTAAAGGTGGGAAGCACCTCAGCTACTGTGCCGTAATACATAAAAAAGAAAAAATATGAGACTGATGCAAGCCAGCCGAACTACCGGTAACGGATGGGCATCGTTCTGGTAAGCTACCAGCCGGCTAATATGCAGCAAAATAAGCATTTACTATGCAAAATTATTAAAGGCAAAGTAGTGAGATCGTGGTTGGGGGGGAGGCTAAGAGAGATGGGAAGGACAAAAAACTCAGAGCACGAACGCCAGTGAGGTCGACTCTTGGCCATGTCAGCAAGTGTATCCAGCTAAACGTATTCATCGTCTTTTGGTCCCCAACCAAGGAGCCGAGACGCTCCAACCAAAGCCAGCTTCGAAGTGAGGGCCTTAATTCCCCTCGACCAAGTCAGCGATTGGCCACCTCCTCTTCTCCCATCCACATCACTGGCGCGCAAAGAGCGCAAGTCGCGGAAGTCGGTGGGCTGGCATGCGCAACACTTGGCCAAGCCATCGGAGCCTGGTGCGTGAAACAACGGTGCTGCGTGGCTCATTTTCTTTTCCTCTGCCGTAAAAGAAGGTCGAACACGCTCATTGCTCACGCGGTGTTCTTACCAGATGTGAGCCAAATTGCGAAGGCACCGGTGACCTCGTTATGACGGCTGATCTAACGGGCCAGGTTTCACGACCGAACAGTAGGGTCGAACGTACCGCTGCATTGCACACTCTACCCTCCAGCGCGCCAGTGATGTCGCGCCGCAGCCATAAGTGGCAAAGACTATCAAAAGCACATCGAGTTATTGCTATACGGTTCGTGATCTCATCTTCAATCCTAAGGGCGCCGATACAACATCCCAGGTTGTTGCATTTCCGAACGATTTCTATCTGATCCCCACCAAGGGTCAGCGCAGGAACTAATCCTGCCAATTTTGGAGGAAAGCTTTGTACTTCGAGGGTGCAAAGAAAAGCCCGAAGCGGCTGACAGCCAGCGCTAATCTGTCCAATGCAACTTGTCACGTCTGTGAGCTGTCACAGATAAGGGCAATGTCGTCTGCATACTCCAAGTCAAGAACTCAAGTTCAAGTTCAAGCGGGACTGGAACGATAGGATAGATCCCGTGAGTGTTCCTTCTTCGGCGGGTCGTTGAACCAGGAGTTGGCGAACTTTAAAATACTGATGGACCTAAAACAAAGACCGCATCACACCCTGTCCAACCAATTAATGCCCACGTATCCTGCCCTAGCAGTCCCTGCTGGGTCGGTTACGCGAAGTAAGAAAGAGAAAAAAGTAAACGCAAATAGTAAAATATTTACAAGCATAGAAAAAATCTCCATGTACTTACGATATATTCTTGGATGAACCACATGGAGTCCTTCACCAGCTCCGCCGCCTATTACGGATGGGCATCGTTTCGGAAGCTGCAGTTGGTGGATTAACGGGCTCCATGGGTTATAATCAGTGAACGATTCCTTCGTCAGTTTCCTGTGAAGGCTTCGTCGAATCTGGCATCCCGCAAAGTGCGCGTCCAGGAATCGTTTGAATTCCGACACCGAGTTCGCTTCTACTATCCGCGAGGGCAAACGGTTCCACATGTTCACCACTCGCCGCTCAAGACACAAGGGATGAGCTACCCACTTGAGGTCAGGGACTACCAGTTTGTACTGGTGACCTCGTGTGCTGCTTGACGCACGGACATGGAGCAGTGGCCTCAGCATCGAATAAGCAACCAGATGCAATACCCGATGGGTCATGATGAGGTCCACTCGCACGCGGCGGTAGGCTAGAGTATACAGACCCAATTGTCTGCATCTTTCTTCATACGGCACACCCTGAAGACCGGGAACGAGCCGTGTGGCTATGTGTTGTACTCTTTCGAGCTTGTGTATCTCGCCTTTCGTCAACGGACAGTAGGCGGGTGAGCCGTATTCTAGCACCGGTCGTACAATGCATGTGAAGAGACGAGTGGCAATCTCTTTCGACCAGGTGCAGAAGCTACGTTTCAGCGCCCACAGCGAACGCAATGCTGTGCGATACATATTGTCCGTATTGTCCAGTGACTTCATGTCGTAACGTTGTATAACGCCAAGGTCTCTGACGCAATGCGTCGGGTGTAGAACTTGGCCGTCGAGAGTGTACGATCGGCCCGCTCCACCTTTACCGAGGCACAGAAGTAGCGATTTTGCCGAGTTGATAGGTAAACTTACTTCGGCGGACCACATGGAGAGGCGGTCGAGGTCTTGCTGAAGTATGTCAAAGTCGTCCGACGTATGGATCACCCTCCATAGCTTCAGATCATCCGCGAACAAGGCACACGGCGACCGAAGGAGATTGGGCACGTCGTTGATGTGAATCAGGAAGAGAATGGGGCCAAGCACCGTCCCCTGAGGAACGCCGCTCGTCGACGGGTACCAGTCGGTCAGGTGGCTGTCGACTTGCACCCTCCACTTCCGTCCAACTAAGAAGTCACGGATCCATTGGTGCAGCGAGCCTCCGACTCCGCACTCCCTCAGTTTCTGAAGGAGGATCTCGTGATTCACTTCTGTCGAAGGCCTTACTGAAATCGACGTATACCACGTCGACTGACTTACGTTGGTTTACTGCTTGCAACCATTCATGCCATGTTAGCAGCAGGTTAGTGATGCACGAGCGGCCTCTCACGAAACCATGCTGTGCAGGCGTCAGAGAGAGTTG